CATTCATTCATTCATTCATTCATTCATTCACTCATTCATCAGGCCTTATTTATTTATATGTACTTGCTTGCATTTTTTGTCTTGGATTCAATAAATGCCTTATATTTGTATTGGAAGACAAAATTCACTCTCGTTCCTCTTCAAATTACGATGTATTCGCAGCTCTCATCCACGTTTAACTATGCTTACATCATAACTTCATCGCATCGTACTTCACGCAATATGGTGTAATTCTCGGACATCATCTAATTTGTGTTCTTGTCTCCTAAAGGACTTCTCTAATATGTACGACAAATATCTATTCCAAACTACGTTTCTATTGTAACTGTCTCTTATATCAGTTATTGTTGTATTATTTTTCGATAACTTAGTTTGACGATTTTTTTAATGTTTTTGAGAAATCTTTAACAACATTTTTGAGATGACTAACGCCAAGAATTAATGCGTTTATTTTTACGTAGCGAATTGTTTTGTAAGTCAGTAAATGTATTGCTTACACTGACATTGTATCCTAAGTGCCTGACTTGTGAAAAGTTGCCTATGTAAATTTAAAAAAATGGTTGTAAATTGTGTCATTCATCAGAATGGTCACTGCACGAAATCGGATGAAATTTAATCAAGTTTCTTCAGAGGATGCGAAAGTTTACCTTTTTTTTTTTTTTAATTACAAAACTCATACACTGAGAAAGAATGATTTGAGCTAAAATACATGCATGATTCCTTGTTTATGAGATACATCAAATAAAAATCTTTATCAGCAACCTCTGAGGTTTACTAAACCTGCGGATAGATAAATAGGATCAATACAACTACTGAGGCTTCTTGATACTTTTGCTCTTCAAATTCTTAAAGTTTTGAAATGCTAAAGATGAAATGATGGATTATTGTTATTATTCATTTCCATACTTTTACGAAGGGTTAACTATTTAAGATTTTATTATGTGTTTCAGAAAAATGTTGCTAAAATTAAGCTTATTGTTTTCACTGATTCTTCACTCGTGCATCGGTCTTAGTTTTCAGTGTCGTGACCAAAAAGACCAAAATGTGGATTGGTATGTTTCTGAAAAATTTTATTTGGAGGTTTTTTCGCACTCTCTCTAACTTCGTATCACTCGTCTTCAATTTACTTTCTCAATTTAGGTTTATATTTTACAAAGTTGGTCGCATAAAGAAATCATCCGCAAAGTCTGTTCGTAATGGGTATGCGTTCTTGTACATGGATGCTAACCATCAGGAGTGGTCACTTTCGGCAGTCGAGATTGATAACTCGAGACAAGCTATCGGATATACTTTGCAGCAATATTATGATGTTGCAAGCAATCCTGAGGTGATTTACAGCATATCTTTCTGCCTGACATCGATAAAAAAAGGTTCCCAATCAAAAAATTTCATAACCTAAGGATGCTTCTACGAAACTGCTTGTTTTAGTGCTATTTGTAGCCCTTAATTTACGATGCACTGCATACACTGGATAATAAAAAGCAATAAAAAACAAAAACCCAACACAAATTCAAGATAACGGAACAACAAGCTACGTGAAAAAAAATAAAAAAAACTTAAAAAACACGACTGAAAATCTTGATAAATAGAATTTAAAACTAAAGAATTAACGACATAATTCAAAACACCCAACTTAAAGAACAATAAAACAAAAGAAATAAGGCGAAGTAAACCAAAAAAAAACTACTAAGGTACGAACAGATATAAAAAAAAAGACAACCAAAAAAAGAAGCAAAACAGTTGTTCCAGCCCATGAAATAGAGCCTAGTACCTTTTTATTTTGTTCAATCATTATATTTTTATTATTTTACAGGTCTTCAGTATAATGTATAACGATGAATTTCCATATCCCAACAATGACACTGTGTCGGGAACTTCGGGACATACTAAAGGTACAATTACCATATTTAGAAAGAACTGATTAATTTAAATGAAGAATTGATCTAAAAAATAGCATGGCAGAAATGAGATATGATATTACAATAGTTTCAGTGATGGGGACATCCAGTAATATATTGTATAAAGAAAGAGAGAGAACATTTTGTCCTTATTGTAATAAGCTAATGAATGAAGAATGCAAATCTGAAGAAGCTAAACCTAAAGAATTTAAATCTGTCGATAAATGCATTGTAGTAGAAATCATTTGTGATTTGGTTATATAGTTTTTATCAGAGCACATTTATTACTCTTCTTGATAATGATATTGTGGATTGATATGATTGGTAAAGTTTTACATATTTTCATTTCTTTCAATTTACTCGTGGTTTTTCCAGGAGTGGTAGTATTTGGAAAAAATAATGGTTTCTGGTTGATACATAGTATACCAAAATTTCCCAGAAATGATACCTATGAATATCCAGTTACTGGACGTCATTATGGACAGATGGGATTATGTGTTTCGATGTCCTATTCACAACTTCATAAAATCGGTAATTTCCAACTTGGAAATCCAAATGGCATCTGTCTTCTTTGTAATGTGATCAGTAAGTTTCTAATTTGGAATCTTTTTTCAGCTACTCAGCTGTATTACAATCATCTTTTTATTTATTCACAAAACCTCCCTGCACAAATGGCTGTTGACATACCTATTCTTGTCAAGGTTGGTTTAAAAAATCTTCAACTATTGCAAAGTTAAAAAATTTGGGTTAAAATGTTGAGGATCTCGAAATGAAATTGACGTTTCTGGATTTTCTCAACATTTGCTTATAAAAATGAAATAATTTGTAATTAATTTCCAATCTGAAACAAAATTGGTTTGAGGTGATATCAGAAAAACATCAACGTGTTGCTCCTTATGTTAGTCGTGTTGTGATCAATTCTTCTGCAGGCCATGAATTTGTTCATTTTGCGAAAACTCATGCATTCGACAAAGGCAGTAACCTTACATAAATTCATTATTTTCTTCTTTAAATATGTGCTATCGTATTTTTTATCGTTGTAATATCTCCATTCTATTAATTCAGTACTGTGTCTATTTCAGATCTTTACTTTGATCTCGTAGCACCTACACTTAAAAGTTCATTGAAAACAGAAACTTGGCAACATGAAACCTTGAGGAACAAGAACTTGAAGTCTTGGTGCCGTAAACAGAGTCCTTATAAGGTTTATTTGTATTGGTTTATCTTTCTGATTTAACTATCAAAGCTTATTCCTATCATTTTTGTTTACTGAAATATCTTCCAAAATCACTAAAAATTAAATACAAATGTTCATATGTATTGATTGATACTGAGCACATAGGGCTGGCCTAAACTGTCTATCCTGAAAGCTGTATAAGTGACTTTGTGAGGAGATTAGGCATCAAAGCTTAATACTTTATACTAGGTTCTGGATGTGAAAAAGGTTACTCTTCCTTTTAATATCAGTTTTCCAAATGCGCTTGATCATTCCAAATTTGCGGTTGCCACATTCGATGCCGGCAAAGTACCTCTACCTTGGATTTGCATTGGTGATATCAATAGACAGGTGTGGAAGTTGTTTGTTCAATCGTTTTATTTTTCTCAAGATAAAGGAAGACTTAAATTTGAGTTATTTCCTTGTTAGAGGTCAGAAAAGAACAATTCGAGTTAGGGGAACTGATTCTGTAATTGGGGAACTACATCTTATGACCGTTCCTAACAACTTTCAGAGACGCCAGCTTCTCCGTGCAGGTGGTACGATGTGTTGTATGAATTCGGAAGTACATTCCATATATAGTGCCATGGTTGCAGATTATTGGCCTTGCATTAGCAGTGGTTCCTAAAACTTGGATTTTTATTGGTAATTTTTTGTCACAATTTCCTAGGACGCGAAGTAACTGTAGGTGTAAACAGAATTAAAAAAAAAAAGTGTAACGTTGCTTCCATTTTGTTACTTATTTAGTTTTGCTGTAAATCGTAATTTATAGTTCTTCATTGTATTCCACTTCTTGCAGTGATTTTGACAAAGTGGGATTTGAGAAGAAACAAAAGAACAACAAGTTTTATTTGTTCAATATAAGTGAAATACGAAGAAGTGCCATTTCCTTCCAATCGGATTTTCTTCTGACTTGTCTTATTTTCCAAAGAAGAATCAGTGTATCAGAGTACGAGAATTTTCCAAAAATTAATGAAGTTTGATATCACTCATTTAGTCATATTCTTGTTCAGCCATTGTCACAGCATTTTCATGAAAGTAACTTTTGTGAGTTATTATTTTCCATTCTCAATGCTTATTTCTGAGAAATAAAATTGAATTAAGAAAAGAAATTTATTGCATTTTGATGACATAAATAAAGTAATCAACAATGTTTAATTATGGATCCCAGTGGAGCAGTTCAGTTTTTCGATGAGCAAAAAATGCATCGGCTTTGGATACAAAGTGCAAGACAGGATGAATTTAATTTTGAGGAGCATTGGAGATGAAGCGAAAGTCTCTATACGTTGTCTTATTATTTCTTTGTCTTTAAAGTTTCGAGTATTCCAAGAAATTATGAAGAATGAATTTTTCGTTGGTGGGAAATCATTTTTCGAAAGCAGTGTTCTCTAGAATTGATGTCATCGTTGTAAAGAAATATTGAAAGAGAAAGATGCTAATCTGGAATTAATATTTTTACAGTTGAAATTTAAATTATCTTACATTCTTCTCGAGCATTTCTATTAACAAGACTACAGTTTAAATTCCGAACATCGAATGTTTTATTTAATACTAAAACCAAAGGACTTTATCAGTAAATCACATCCCCAGGACTGGATGAATGAGCACAGAGCAAATGGCCTATTATTGATATTTGTTAACATTAACATTGGGAATCTCTTCTCAGACAGAATGAAATATTGCATTGCATCATCTTTAGCAATAAAGGTAAAATGCATAAAAAACGGTATACCTGTTTGTTTAGGAACTTCCGCTGCTCTACAAATGAGTGAAACTTTTGGAATAGTTATTACGGGTATTCTAAAGGGGTTGCCACGTTTTGTGAGAGGCCTATCAGTTGGTCATCTTTTATGAAAATCCACCAAGTAGGCACTATCTATCTTCATCCATTATGTCAACATTATTCCTTTCACAGTCTTACTGTTCTTTATTTTCTTTTTCCAAAATTTTCAAAATTTCAGCTTGAAATTCACCAAGTACTTATATTGGAAGATACGTTTGTCGAGCAGTAAATACCCCAATACATTTTTGTTAATATGGCAATCAATCTGTACTGTTTTGTATGAAATATTGCGTATTTTACATTTTTAATTTTCATATTCATTGTCAAATTTGGTGAAATTTCTCGGTGTAACAATTGATTTGTTGAAAATTCTCGCTGTAACTGATATTTCCTCAGGAAATTCGGATGCAATTAGTTAATTGTTCTATTAGGAAACTTAAATAAATTAATGTATTGATAAGGTTATCACACTGAGCAATCCACATTCTCTCATCTCATATCACCTATTTCACTTAAAGAAATAAAATGAAACAAATAATTTTCTATAGATATCATTTTTAGAGATAAAATTTCTGATATATATTTTTACATATTTATGTTAAAAATATGTTAAAAGCGGGCAGCTTTTTTATAAAATTTATTCTTGGAATAATATTTGTTAGAGAAAAATATTATTAATTGTGGTATTGCACAGAAAATAATTACAATAAATGAATTATTTCTCTATGTATCCATGAATATTTTCCAGTGGTAAAGGAATTGTATTTGAAAATTTGATTAATTGAGAAAGAAGAAGAGAGGGAGAGAGGGAGAGGGAGGGAGATATATATATATATAAAGGCAATCGTTGTTAACAAAAAGCGCTTTGAAATTATGTTCTCAAAGGACGGGGATGAATGGAATAAGCAACGAACAGCAAAGTAGTAATAATATAAGCTATTACACTGATAAGAAATTTTTGAATTGAATTCAAACAGGAATAATTTAATTTGATTGAATTTGCAGCAAAAATCGAATTATACTCTCTGCTTACCAAGAATCTTTTCCACGTTTTTGTGAAAAGTATATTTGAAGTTTCCTGAGATAAATAGTTGTTTCTAAAAATGCCTGAATTTTCAATTTTTTTTTTTACTTACCCATTTCAGTATTTTACAGACAATGAGATTTGCAAGAATTTTTTTAGAAAACAAAAGCAAAAAAAGAAATATGAAAGTATGAATTCGTTCAGAAATTGTTTGTTAGCGTTATAGTGTAAATTATTACAATTCCTCATTGAAGCATTGAATAATTGAAAAAGGAGCTAATTGGTTATAATTATTGCACTTTTAAAAAGATAAATTTAATGTCAAATGTTTAGCAATAAAAATGATGAATAATTGCTTGTACAATGAAATGAGCACTTCTGTCGAAACAAAATTACAGATAAATTGTTCTTTGATCGATTTGGAAGATTCGTGCAACATTAAGATTTTAAAATTAGTTTTATTTTATTTGACAGAATATGTTCAAATTGATAATACCAAATTTAGATCAGAAATTTTTCCCTCATTCATTTTCAAAGGAAAAAAGCTGAAGAAAAATATTTGTTAAGTTGAAAAAAAAATTTTCAACAGCCGTTTCCTGCATTCGAATGCATCCGAATTCATCGTTACAGTTTTCTTATTTCATTGTTGTAAAAAATTTTTGTTCTCTTAAAATTTTCTTTTTATATAACATTTTAATGTTTCCAAGTTTTACTTATTTTACTCGGGCGCTTTTCCGATATTTCCCCTCACAATGGTTTTTACACAAAAAGAAATGTTTATTGGCTGGCAGCAATTTATACGAAGTGGGGTAGCGGAGGAAATTGAAAACAAGAATTCATAAAGATGATATGATATTGCTGATGTTATCACAGTTTCATATGAAACTTTGCAATTGATAAATGGAAGAATGCAAGACAGCTTATTGAGGATAATTAAGTTGTGCTTCGTTTCGCATATTTAAATCCAACGAGCCAAATCGTTTTGTCTAATTTATCATCACATTTTTAATATTTTATGTTCAGTTAACTTTGAAAAATTGAGATTTATTAGAAATGAGTAATGCATGCCATCAATTAATGATATTTGAGATATTAACGGCGCGTAATGTCGTATTCTGCCTTATCATTCATTCCTTTCAACAATATTTTTCATAATTTATAATGATATTGCTAAATGCACTTTTTCAAACAAAATTTCCATTTTAATTAAGGTTTAAAAAACTGTTCGGTGATTGGATTATTTAAGGTGAAAAAAAAAAGCTTTGCATTTATTGACAGGTCAATCCTTTTTTTACGAGAAATTGTTATGCTAATGAACGATAATTTTATTCATTTTCTTTTTTTATGAAGATACTAAAATGATACTTTTCTTCTCTCTCTCTCTCTCTCTCTCTCTCTTCTTTACTTTTTTCGAATGGCATTGTTAAATTATTGTCCCGAAATGTGCGTATGTCAGTGTATGTGAGTGTATGTGTATGTGTGTATGGAAGCGTATATGAGCGCATGTGAATGAATGTTAGCATATGTATAATGTGTATATACATATGTGTGTGTGTGTGTGTGTGTGTGTGTGTGTGTGTGTGTGTGTGTGTGTGTGTGTGTGCATGTGAGTAAATGTGAGTGTGTGTATGTGTGTGTATGCGTGTATGTTCGGCCTCATGTCAAAGAATCATTTTCATAGTCAATTATATTTAGTGAGTTATTCGATAATATTATTCTTTTTCAGTTAAAAGTTAAATATTATCGATGGGTTCGAGAGACAAAGAAGATAAACATAATTCTCGACTACTGCCGGCTATGGCCATTTGCACGAAATTTATTGCAAATATAGGCTCATTTTCTTGTATTAAACTTATGCCTTTATTTCTTACCACTTAGAAACATTCTGCAAATTTCTTTTTCCCAAATTTTTTTCTTTGCTTGATTAATTTTTCATTTAGCAAACTTGAATTCCGCTCATTTCTATAATTATTAAATTGCATTTTTAAATTTACATCAGTAAACTAAGCAAACTATTGACCTGAATGGCGGCTTACAATTGATAAGATCGAAAATTTGTTTTTCTTTTTTTGAGAATAGTGAACAATGTTAGCTTATTAACAAGAAAAATGATATGAAATATTCTCTGCTATATTACTCATTTCATTACATTCAGCAATTATAATTAAATAAAGATTTCGAATAAAGCTTTTTCTTCCTTTTCTCCCTTGAATATATATGAAAGAAATTGTTAGAAAACTGCAGTTGACAAATCTATTAGTCTTCGATAAAGTATTTGCTTAAAATGAAAAAAAGAAATTATTCCTCTGTCTTATCCAAAGGATGTTAATTACTTGTTTGAAATTAACTTTGCAAATTTAAAAAGGATTTCAAAACTGCACGAAACATCTCTTTTTAACAAAGCTTATTCATTTATATTCATAAAGGCGCAGTTATTTTCTTCTCATTCCTCTTTTTTCAATGTTTTATCAGTGATTGCTTATTCAAATCTGACAGATTGCTTGTGGAGCAGGTGCATTTATACAAAGGCTTCAGTTTTTTTCTTTTTTCAAGACCATATATTTTGATTCTGTTTGGTGATAGCTAAACAATTCCCTAATGTCATAGAAAGTTCATCGAGGAAGTGCTAAATCTTGTCAAGGCAGGCTGGACCATTGCTAATTTCAATATTCTTTGCATCCATTCAAGTGCTGAATAAAATTCGCTATTCATCTGATATCAATAGATTTTATATGAGCAAAGAGAATGTGCGACAGGGATCAAAGGTCAGTAATCAAAATCAATTTTCTTTTAACTACTTTTTTTATAGCTTATATTGTCTATTGTTTGGCTCATTTGAAGAAAAAAAAAAGAACCATGCTTTCGAAATGCTAAAGTGTAAAAAATGCGACATACTTTGATGCATGTTGCATTTCGTTACATTTTTATTTTAATAAATTCATTAAATTCTGTCCTAAGTAAGATATTCAATGAAATCCCAACTAAGTAAGTATTCAATAAAATCTCGAGTAATTCGGTAATCATGGAATGAAATACATGTAAACATACGCTTTCTGAATTTCCACACCACATTATTTTCTCCTCCGTAAGATTAATTTTTAAAGTTTAATGAAAATTTGAAATAGTAAGCACAAATTAATCTTACACATACGTAATTTATATTTATTATTGATGAGTTTCTCACTAAAGTTTAGGAATTAATCTTATGGAGATTAATCTTATGAATTGTACTTGTTTTCTATTCTACTTGTATATTTTGAAAAGAAAGTGATCTATGCTCATTAGTTATTTATAATTTGTTATTCTAATTAAGTTAATTTAGAATTCTGGTTTATCGCTGTCTTGTCAGGCATATATGGGCTTTCCTGTAGCTGATCATATTCCACATATATGCACATATAATATTCATTAGCTTAATTAAAACTAGAAGAAAAAATCATGCAAATATTACCTTTCAATAATTTTTCAATATATGAGATCTGCTATGCAATAAGCGATGAGATTTATGTTTAGCATTTCGTTCATTCCACTCTTTTTAACTTCAATTTTCATCCATTCATCGTTTATAGAATGATTTAATAACATTTGCTGCTCTCAAACAAACTAAGCAAAAGCTCGTAAATGTGCTAATTAGTCTATTGAATTTTGCCGAAGTTAATTAAGGTATTGCAAGAAATATCATTTAACACACACACACACACACACACACACACACACACACACACACACACACACACACACAGACAGTTGCACCATACTTAACAACCTATCATCTCTTCTTGTCCTTCATTTCTCACATACCTGTTGCTATCTATTTTGTGTATCACAGAGACATGCCGACATATGTCTCATTGAATTTCTTCTAAAAACTAATTACGTTAATTGTTAAATTATTCTACTCTGATAAGGATTATCATTAAATTATAAATACTTGAAGATTCCTTAGTTTATATAATAAAAAAAAGTAGTTTATATAATTGATGTATATATAATATAGTGATTAATGACTGGTAGAAATTATGCAATCTTTATTATTGCATATTTATTTTATATTAAAATTAGAATTTAAAAATTAACAATTAACAATCAACAACTATTTTAGTATTAATTCTTCATTCTTGAAATATTTCCTTTTCTTTTCAAATTTTTGCAGAATATCTTTTTAAGTTCTTTTTTCATAATTTAATTTATGTTCAATGAAAAATTTTTATTTGAAGCATACTTTTGCAAATGCTATTTGCTTCGGATAAATGAAGCAAATTTGATGATAGGAAAAAAACTGATGAATAATGGGTGAATAAAATTGTAAAATTAAAAAAAGAGAGATAGAGAGAAGACGAATCAATGAGAAGTTAATTGATATTAAAAGGGAGCTATTAATGGAGTGGCTGACGGTTGTTAGAAACGGAAAATGATAGTTAAATGATGAAGGAGTGTGTCAAACAAGCAGTTAACAGAATGAATGCTAATTTAAGGTTGATTTGTTTCAATTCTAAAACATTTCCGTCTTGTTAGCAAGCATTTTTCATTCTGTAATTGCTTTTACAAATAGATTCCCATCTATTCTTTTCTTTTTTTTCCAACGACAATTAATTAACTTCTTACAAAATATTTTCTTTTTGTTACAATTCTATCCAGATTTTGATTAAAACCATTTATTGGAACAAATATTTAGCACATCTCAAAAATTTCCTATAAATTGTGGAAGCATTATGTAAGCGTTAGAAATTAAATAAATCTAATCTGATCAGGATAGACTTTAGTCTGAATAATGATTGATAGCAATTCAAGAATGATCGTGTATATAGAAATTTTCGGAAAATCGTGATCGGAAAATGAATATTCTAATTACACATATATTTTAAATATCAGCCTCTTCGAGAAACTTCAGCTTTGAATTTTATCATTTTAATAATTTATCCGAAAAACTCATAGGTAAATGCATTGGCAGTTCATGTTTTTATAAAGAAATTTGAAGATATTTCTGGCTTAATTCCGAAATTCATTTCCTCTATCGTTCCATTTAACAATTAGCATTTATTGTCTAATTTTGCAAATCCGACAACCCTAATGAACACAGGTGCTGCAGTTTCTCTGCAAACTTTAGCAACACTGAATCAAAAATTCTTCAACAGAGAGAAGCTCTTTTGCAGGATATTGATACGATATTCTTTTTCCAGTGAGATGAGATATTGAAGTGGGATTGAAAATATGAAAGATGAAAATTTGAAAGGAAAAAGTTTCTCTTTTACATAATTCAACGGTTTGCAATAATTATTTGTGAAAAGATCGATGCTGTGCGATTAGTTGATCGGTTGTATGGAACGATGGTGAAATGCAATCCGAAATGATATTTGGGGATTGGAAGTTCTTTAAAAAAATTTTATGTACTCAAACGTTGACTTATTTATGTCTTTTTGTCTGTTTTTATTTGTTATATTCTGATCCGAATTTTTTCTTTTTTCTTTTTTTCTTTATTGTATCGAAATGTTAAACAAAAAATTTGCGAAATTTCGAAAAATTTTCCACTTAGACTGTTGAAAGTTTTTTCCACTGAACAATTTAATTATATTTTAGATATGATTTGCTGCTTGAAAAATTATGCAGTATAATATTACATCGCGAAGTGATTATCATTATGCTCAGAAGTTAATACATATTTTTAATTAAGCAGTCCATTTTGTTACGATCTATTTAAGATTTCTGTCAAAATATAGTTCAAATTATTTAACTTCTTATAAAAATTTCCATTAATGAAAAAACGATTCATTACTGAACTAACAGACGAACTTTAAATAAATATTACAGTTAGCGAGTAAATTCATTTAAAACTTTTCTGAAGAAATTTTTTTTCGTCTATTATTTATATTATTAAATTGAATGAGCTACTATGATTATATTACGGATTGAAAATATCGCAAGATGTTAGTAATGTGCATAATTTTACTGAGAACTGTTCTTTTTTACAATCCTATCGCTATTTTATAACCATAAAAATTCTGATGAAAAATATTGAAATGATTTTTGGAATTTATGTAAAATTTATCTAAATTTTGCATTCGAGGATTGTTACAGCTTTAATTTATAGCATCAAACAAAGCAATAAATTATCACTGTCAAGTTATGCGCTGAATGACATATACTCGAATAATGAGAATTTCATTGGTACCAATAAGCAAACAGTGAAAAGCAGCGAAGATCGTAGAATGATACCAGCTTACAGAATTGCTATGCTAGAAGTTTGTTACCTTTTTATTATTTTAACTATGATAGACTTACCGTTCTAATCACAAAATCTATTTCTAGGCTTTTGATTATATTTATGTTCTGAAACTAGAATTTAATAAGTAATTTTATTATACTTATGTGAATCTATTTCAGGTTTGTCAATTGCAACTAAAAATTTGCTCGAAATTAATTGAATTAGGTGCGCCATCCTGTCCGACATTATTTAGTCTTGCAACATTTAAACCTTCAACATTGAAAAGACTTGCTGGACAGTTCATTCTGCTCCATCCTTGTCATAGTCCATGTGGCTTAGTTGGAATATTTTGCCGTAAGTCTGAAATTGATGATGATATTGGTATTGATAATAATGATAGCAAAGTATCGTGTTATCATCAAATGCTCCCTAATGAATTGATCAAATTTTTGCAAGATGGAGCAGTGGATTATGATTGAAGCTAATAGATGAAATGATGAAATATTATTGTTTAATGAATTGAAATAAATTCCGTTCTGACTTGTTACATTGTTCGCTCGTTTAAATTACCTGTACTTCACATTTTATAAAAAATGTAATTTAACTAAATAAGCTAAAACTACCTTATCTCTTTACTTTATTTGTTAATAACAAGGTGATATAATGAAATTTTAAAGATTTAAGAAAAAAAATGTCTAAAATAGGAAATAATTTGATAAATTTGAAATTACCAATTTTAAATATGAATTATTATTTAATATAGGCTTCATTTATTTTACACATTGTAATTGCACGCACGAATATTCATATTATTTTGAAGTAATTATTCGTATCATTGCTTTTCATTAAGTTCCACTTTTTTTCATTCATTCATTGTGATGGTTATTTATATTCAAACATTCATAATGTTAACTCTTTTTAAAGAGGGAATGAATAATTATATTGTTTTGATTTCTAGGCTCTTTAACTTCCTCATTATTTGGCCAAAAAATGAAATAATTTTTTTATTACAATAATTTTTCATCGTGAAAGCTGTGCACTACTATTCTTTTCTCTCAGTATCTTTTTTCTGGAGAATGACTATATTATTTCTCGAGTTATCACTTTCTCTCCATTTTATAATCTTTCCTGGCCTTATCAAATTTCATTACCGTATACTTTGTTTTGCACTTTGGACTGGATTCAATTTTGTATGGATTCTAAATGGAGCTTAGAAATGAAAAAAATAATTGAATTATAGCTTCTGAATATAAATTGAATAATGATCATCGTAAAAGGCCATTGCAGCACCCTAAAGCACAAAGTTGAATTGTTATATTCAGTATTCTAAGCATATGAAATTTGAAATTGTATATGTAATAGCTTCAACTGTATTTATTGTACTGCATTCTACCGTAATTAGTTAAATTCAAAAAATTCAAATTTCTGTAAGAAATTTCCATATCATTTTATTGTGAAATTCCTAATTTGCAAACAAAAAATTTGAAGACAAAAGAAAAGGGATTTTCTGTCCCGGACGAATAATATATATCGATTTGATAGAATAATTCGGTCTAGACGTTTGAAGATTTGAAATTTTTGCTCTAAGGAATTTAATAAATTTGAAAATTAACATTGAAAAATATTGTGTAACTTTCGCATGAAAAGTTGAAATATCGTACAGTTCCTAACAAAAATCGATGGTAGCAATGGGTTTTTTGATCAAATTCTTTCTATTCCTGCTTATTACTCGTTGTAAAGTTAACAGTAATTGGATATGAGATCATTACGATTACCGATGAGATCTGATAAGAGTGATAAAGGAAGGGAGTTCAGTAACATTTAATCAATGAATCGTTTTCGGCTAAATTTTTCTCAAAAATTGTCACACAGATAATTGAATTGTCAGCAGAATCATTCATTTTCTGTAACGACCATTCTCGTGCCACAAGTAGTATCGGACGCGGAAATCTTTGATTTAATATCTGATGACTCATATCATTTATTACAATACCAATCATTTTCAAAATCTTATTGCAAGTAAAAACAGTTGCGTTAACGTTATACGTAAAACGGTGATGGTAATCGTTTAATTAATTTGAAAAATTTGATAATTATGGTATAATTGATTGATTTATTGTATTTCTTATCTGGAATTCAAATTAAAAAGATGAACTTCTTGAACATCTGAAGGCAACTTCAAAAAAGTAATAGTGATAACACTGAGAATACCTCGCCAAGTGCTTTGCTCGACGTCACCACTGAAAATTTAGGCAGTGAGGCTTAGAAATTTCACCTTGAAATATTAATATCAATACAGTAAAGATATTCCAACACTATATAATTGGCATATTTCCAGTCAAGATCTATCACTGATAAATGTATCATAAATGATCCATACGATTGTCTAGTTTTCCACAGAGCACAAGTTTCATTGTCATCTTCTGATGATGATGAACTTTTATTGATTACCGAGATTTCTTCATGATCCAGTTTTCTGTCATGTTTGATTTAAGAGAGAACAAAATTCGAATACGAATGTGTAATTTTTTTTTCAAATTTTTAAGAATTTTCAGATTTTTAAGAAAATGTAGGCTGTAAAAATATGAAACTTACAGCTTATATGCGTAGTTTCTCTTCAAATTTTGACAAAATTTAAGTGAGAAAGAAATACATTTAGATATGGTGTGAGCTTGTACCCTGGCTAGATGTAGCATAAACCAATATCCTGAATGTTGAATGGCGTGACCTTGTGCCCTAAGTAGATGTAGCCTAGCGAAGCAGTATCGTGTAGTTCCAAATAGAATTCAAGTGGCCTATGTGAATCTATGTCTCATTTCAGTTAACAATTTAATATTTTCAAAGAGAAAAGACAGATGTTGTGCAAATTGTTTTTTCTCATCAACTGGTTTACAATTGCTATTTCAAGTAAATTTTTGCTTTCGTTTCCTTCTTCCTTTCTTTCTTTTTTTAGTAAAACAATTGACACACATTGAACTTTGTTCTTTCTCTGTTTATATATTCACAATGTAATGATTAGTAATATGCAGCAGTATGCTCCAAAAACTGAATTTAATTTTCAAATTTAGCATTATTTGAAAGAGTTTTTGATCTTACATTGCAATCTCTGAATTTCATACTCTTTAATGAAGCCAATGACTGATCATTTACTGACATTCCAGATGAATATAAAATTCCTATCCGATTCGGTAACGTAACTCTATACGATAGATCTGATGGTCGAAAAGAGGTAATCATTCGTCAAGGAATTAATATCGGCGGATATGGTGGCATTTCCGGACGTACTTTCCTGTTAGCTTTCCATTCTTCTCCATATAAATTTTAATTCATTTTTCTACATTCCAATACAATATAATATCGCTGAATTAAAAAAAGTTGACGAGATCTTGTTAAAGTCATTTTTAATGGGCATATTTAATAGGTTCCGCACCTATTTAAGTGTGAATAATATTGTTAACTATTCTGAACAAATGTGTGCTAATTTGTTTTTGCATTTGCATTTGGTTCAAGTATAAAATAAAATGCCAAATTTAAAGCACATTTGCATTTTCCGTGTTTTGTAATTAAATGACTGAAGAACTTCTTGCAAGTTTCTAGAAAAATCTTAAAAATTTTCAGCAAAAAAAAAGTGTGATATAAGTTGGATTATTTACTAAAAAGTGAGAAATGTCTTAAATTAAATGCGAAGGCTGTGTATTAGAAATTATCTTTGCTAACCTTATAAATTCAATAAAAAATACTTAAGTGAACAAAATGGAACTTTTGAAACAAGCAATGCTGGCGCACTGCTTTTCGATGGTAAATTATACGGTAACAACGAAACACTGACTTACACTAAGCAAGGGATTGAGATGGATACGAAGTATTATTTCGGGAATAAAACATTCCATGTAAGTATAATTCGGGATTCTAAGGAAAATTTGAAATTCGCTATCGATTGATATTTGAAGCTGATATTTGATATGAAAAATGTCTGTGCTATGTATTAGTTGATGATTTTATAATATTATAATATATTATAAATATTATAATTTTTATAATATTACTAATAGAGTGCCCGAAATCATGACGAAAACATTTTTAGGGTGGACCAGGAAAGGAAGGCCTCGCATTTGGTCAATTTCTGGATCACATTCTTGCTGGATTAGAAAAAGCAAGCAAAACAACGCCAGAAAAAGTAAAACTGTTTCGTCGAAGACGAAGACAAATTTCGAAACGTCATATTTGATTTTTATCCTTTTTTCTGTTTAATTCTTGAAATGTTTATTCATTACAACATACCGCCATTATCTGTTGTTGCTCAGAGTTGACATGTGCCTTTAAAGCAGAATTTTTTTCTTCTTATTGTAGGTGACCTTTCACTGGAAACTAATGTGAACTCATTTACCACTATGAGCAAGGCGACACAAGAAATATTGATATTTTCATTTCAAGACCTGTCTCCATCGATAATATACCATCACTTTTTGGCGTCAAGTTCCCATTCTCATACCGGGTGAACTAACTTTCATAAAATGTATCGCTTACATCATTTACTCAGTCAGTTTACTCACATTTTTTACACATGTAACAAAAAGATGTGCTTATTAATTTGATAAGCTTTTTCTGTCATTTTACTTTAGAATAAGGCTTTATCATCAATTTGATATAATTTTTGGAAATTTATTTCAACCAAAGATCAGCGACGATAACCAAGAGCTATGTTTTTTATTTTAACTCATTGCCATTCTCCGATGGAAACTTATCAAATCTGAATAAATCAAATTTTCTGCAAAAGACGTTGGAGAATGATATCAGAAAGAGTGGGATGTGTTATATTGAAAGTTCAGACATTCCTCATTTCCAGTATGCGGAATCCATGCGGCATTTCTTTCACGTTGCACTAATGGCAATAATATTTGATAACTTTGATTTTCCTTTTATGATAATACAACAAAAATTTCATTATATTAATGAAGTTATTATTATTCACTGATCACTGTTGACCCCTTCCTTTAACACATCCCACATATAATCTCTTTGTTAGGAAACATTAACTAACCACTCAACTAAAGATCTTTCTTTAAATTACTTGATTCCGGAATAATTTACGTAGAAAAGTAATTAGCACAAAAATTGGTGCCGATGTTGTAGAAGCAACAGTGACATGTAAAAGTGCTGAATTTGTCAGTAATTATCACAGTATAGAAGATGCGTAACGTAGAAGAATTTTGTGCTCTGTTTAAAGGAATAAAAAGAAATAACAGCAGATTCTATTCAAATGATTCATCATTTGATCTTCTTGAACAATTTAATGCATTTCATTGCTGAAAATCTTGAATAACAAAGAAAAAATATTCCTTCAATTACTTCCCATAATAGAAGGTAGAGCATTATGCAGGAATAGGGATTGCCGAAAGTATTAGTCATATTAGGAAGCGCAAAAAGAAAGTACATATCAAATCACGGAATTTTATCTTCTCATTAGTTAAGAAAATCCGCTGGAATGGAAAAACAGTTAATCTAACTGCATAATTTTGATCTATGATAATGAAAAAGCGATAAATATCATTAGTTTTTAGGTATTTTATATTTTCCAGCGAAAACAAAATTTTCAAAGTTCAATAATTTGAAGCTATTACTATTATAATAATTTGAGAAAGAATAATAAAAGCTTGTAAAATTTGTTGAAGAGTGAAAAAGTTATAGTAACATGGTCCCTCATTTATCCCACAAAAAAAAAAGATTTGAATAGTTGAATTTGAGGGGAAGAAAGGGTCGTCACCCTCTTATTACACCTCTCTTTCAATCCATTCCTACTCGATCGTTGTGTATGTGTGTATATATATATATTTAATTTGTGGGAATGTCTTTCTTACTATTCAGATCGCTGTCATCATTACTGTCATCGTTCCACTCAGAATACTCCTCAATAAAAAGGGGTTGGATTTCCGTAGGGTAGAAAAGACAAGCATTGCGGGCGGACATTTCAATGTTCGCTCAATTTCAAATTGTGTGAAATATAAAGCATTCTTTTTCTTTTTTTTTCAAGCTCTTTTGTTATTTAAGGAATACGAGAAAAGGGAATAAATCGTTATGCCAATGAATTTCAACTACGATCAAATTCTTTCACTCGCTAATATATTTGCACGACAATACGATTGGCTGAGAGGAGTGCAAGTTTCAAACATCTTTTTCAATAAACTGAAAAGGAAGCTCGAATTACCCATTCAATAATGCCCTTCTTTCCCATAAAAAGATTCCTATACTTTTTAAATTCATTCTGTAAAAAAAGTAGAAATTACTGAAGTGATGAATTGATAAACATTTCTTGTCTATACGAAAAAGTATTTCATTAAATTCGTTGCTTTTCCTCCCTCATATATTTATTCATCAAGAATTAGGCCTTGGGAGGCGTCAAATGGAACAGTGAGAGCAGCATCACTGATTCCGTACGCCAGTAAGCAATAGATTATAAGATGAGGAAGCAGAAGAAGCGAAATAAACTGATAAATAATGGAAAGGAAACATTTCATCGAATGATACGGTCCCTCGAAATTCGTGCGTCTATAGCAACTAGCACATCTGAGGGGAAGAAAATTGAAATTAGAATGGGGCTAGGGGTACCCGCCCCGTTCGCCCGAGAGAGCACAAAGCACAAAGCACACATAGGAGTGACGTTGAAGAGCAGCTGGCGAACTAAATATATACACGTCCCAATAGATACTGTCCAGATAGGATACTTAACGGGAGAGGCCCAAGTCACACTTAAATGGCTCTTTTATATACACATAACAAAGAGAAAGCTATTCAAATTTCTGCCGAGAATATTTATTCGACAAGTTTCCGAGACGATCATCGACTGCTACTACACCTGCTGTAAAATGTGGAACTGTTCGTTGACTTCCTCCATACCTATTCAATACATCAGGAAGTACCGCCTTACCGGGATTTTCATTCTCGCTGTAAGTGAAGATTACAACAGTGTGCAAGACAAGTGTCACCTTTTGTTGTATCGGTCTCCCAGAAAGTTTATTCTAGCACTTTGCAACTACCACAAACTTGTAAAGTGTTGCTACGTGGAGAAGGTTAAGGATAGGAAGGAATAGAACAGATAAGATATTCTCATCGATTCGAAAACATTTTAATCGATCTGAAGAGTCCCTATTCTATCCTTTACGTCAATCAAGAATTAAAAAAATGAAAGGGCACCAGAGGAAGGATTATCAACGAGAATCGAAGATACTTTTAAAGTCTGAAATGAAAAGCACTCCAGGATGGACGTTAAGAAAAGAACTAACTACGTTCCGGAAGGCTATTCCAAAGTATTAAGAGCAATCTTTAGTAGATTCCAATTAAATATAACTGAATTTGTACGAAATTGGAGGCATGAAGTCGTATTATCCTCCTTATGGTTATAATAGAAGGCGGTCAGTATACGTGATGAGTAAGGGGGATGTGGTAACGTGATACAGGTAGCGTTATTTTGTTCGGTAATGATTTCAAGAAAGTAGAAGATGGAATGCATTTACTCGAAGATCGCTACCCAATAAATTCTTTGCATCAAAATCTGTGAAGCACACTAGAAAGCACTAGCCTTGAGAATGGGCTAATGGTGATACACGTTAGCCAATCATCCTAGTTCATGCAGCGTCCGTCATTTTATATCTTGCAGCACAATTCTTTCCACATCAACATCATAATTTTACCAAAACGTGTCATAATTTTTACCGTATATCTTACACGATGGCCCTCAAACACTTATTCGATTACCCTCCGTAATTAATGAAAGAATGCTAATAACCGAATGACACCTTTAATCAGGGATCATCTCGTGAACAAGCATTCATAGCAAAGCATTTCACTGTAAGAAAGGATCAAACTTCATGAATACAGCATGAAGGGTATAAATTTACAATTTCAAACTGCTACTGCCTCTCTTACAACAGAACGAGTTCTTCCCTTTGCACTTTTATTTTTATCTAAAATTTTTCTTCAGTTTTCAAAATTCCATCGAAGCAAAAGGAAAAATTTACCGTAGCTAAAATGGGAAAGAGATCAGTACTGAGTGACCATCCCATTCATTAAACTTACTCTTTCTCTGTTACTATGCCATACTGCCTTTCATAGGTACTATCCTGGAACCTGCATTGTAAACAATCTGAACTCGGTCACTCGAGAATTGTCCAAGATGCTTTGGGGTCACTCTTACCTGACACGAATCCTTCTCTTCCCCTGACCCATTCGTAAAACGATTATTGCCAACCATAGAGACACATTCACGAGCACATTATCACACAAACAGACAAGCAGACGGGCAGAGAGCAGAGAGTGAGGAGATGTGTAACAGAAACGATCGATTATATGCCGTTGTGTTGGAGATGATTATCTCCAATATGCGCGCATAAAAAAACTGACATCCACAGGCGCATGTGTTCACGCACACAGACACACACGTATACACACGTGTACCTATGTGCAGACATACAGAGATACACGTACTGATTACACATGTCGGCACATTCATTAGAATAGTGGTTCATTTTAAATTAGTGCGTCTTTTGGATTTCTGATATGGTCTCTACTGAACAGAGAATATGCAAAGAAATATATCGATTAGTGAGGCAATGCTAATACGGGCGTATATGTCATCCAAACACGTGTGAATGTGTTTGATGCTACGTATTTGTATGCTGATGGATGAGACTGTATATGGGTGTGTGTGTGTGTGTGTGTGTGTGTGTGTGTGTG